TCAACTTCTTTCTCCTTTCTCTTTAGCAGTTCATTATCTCTCTTCTCTTCCGTCTCTGTTAGCTTAGACATTATAAATGATCTGAATTCCTTATCAGACATTTCCATGATTTTCACCAAACTGCTTGTGGATGAAGAAGAGTTACTCTTTTCCCTTGGAGGAGAGGTATTTTTTCGTTTTCCCATATTTCTCGTGATCCGGTGGTGATTTCTTGTCATCTGATAGATGTGGTGTTTCTTTCAAATTCTTGAAGTTCAGCCTTAATGTTCAGGAGGAAGCAGGCAGAGGTGATCTAGAATCTCTTTGCCGTTCTATTGTGATCACTGGTGCAGCAGATTCTGTAGGTAGTGGGGAATATTTTAACCCTATTAGTATTTGGATGTTTAGCTGCAGTGCTCTTAGATTGCTAGCTCATTTGTTGGAGGTTGAATTATTAGTAGAAAATCTTCATTCCCTTAAAAATTTAGTTCACTGTCGCCATGTGGAACCTTCTCCTGAAGGCCCGTGGCTTCTTCCCCGTTTCTATTCTTAACCTTTTGTGTTTGGTGAGATTTTGCAAGAGTCATTATTAACTTAAAAGTAATACTTGGGGAACCAGCAGGTGGCATGGTGGTTAAGGCAATGACTCGCTACATGGCCAACCACAGTTCGAGTCCCAGACTGGAGGCTTAAAAATCATTCCAGGTACATATGTGTGCATGCCCAAAATCCTGACAGAAGAATGGAGGAGAAGGGATTACAACATGGCCATCTCCCCTTAGAGAGCCAATTTCTCACTTTCCCTCTCTCTCAAGGACTCTGCCTCTCCCCGGGAAGCCCATCCACCCTATAGCAAAAACCTTAAAAAAAAAAAAAAAAAAAAAAAAAAGGAAATAATCCTCAGAAGTAACCAGAAAAATTATACACACATATACCTATTTCCAACAAATAGAGTTACGATTTTCCAAACTGCAGTTAACCCATGCACCTCACAGGGAGAAAGTGTGAACAGTCGCTTATGACAGCACGACGCTGGGCCTCTCAGTACCTGGAGAAGACGGGGATGCCAGCTGGCGTCTGCACTGTGTCTGCTGAGTGGAGAGCACGGCACAGCCCGCGTACAGGGCCTGCGTCTGCAGGGCCGTGTTCACACTGCAGTTGAGAGGGTTTGAAAGGCTGGAGCCATAGGTCCATAAAACAGAAAAGAACTTGAATAACTGAAATACACCATCTAGATGTACCTAGTTAAAAAACACAAAACAAAAACAGAAACATAAGAAAGTTTAATTCTTACTCAAGTAAGCTGGTCTAACCCCTTTCCAGTAGAGCATGGTTATAAAACACGCGGTCTCTGCGTTTACAGCCTCTGGACCCCTGGTCTCCCAACCCCCGGGAATATGCAGACGGGGCAACGCTCAGAAGCCCTACTGTAACCACGCCTGCGAACACCCGACAGATGACGAGCTCGCTAAGCAGAAATGGAGAGAAGCATGGCTGGCCTCTGGGAAGCCTCGTCAGGAGTGAGCCTGGAGTGCAGTGGTCAGATGAGTCTGGCAATGCCGGGCTTACATCCAGAGGCCTTGGGCGCTCCATGTGCAGCCTGGGTCTGGCTGGCGTGAGACACGGGCAGGGCAGAGGCTGACCAGGGGCGGGCGACAGGAAGGACTAGGCCTGGGTGTGATGTCCTAAGGAGTTGTTGTGGCATGGCTGCTGTGGGCCCCCTGAGCATCAGTATTCTCGTCTGTAAATGGTATTAACCAGCCAAACAGGTTGGGCTGTTGCGGTTTTTTGTTTTTGTTTTTGCCAGAAAGCACATACACTTGCCAGAGAGAGACAGACAAAGATGGGGGCAGAAAGCACCTCTCAATGGGGTGTGGTCACACTGCGATCCCTTTCCCTCCACCTCTCCATCCTACTGAGGTCTGGGGCTACCATGTATGCATGTGTGCACACAGGTGCCTGGTGTGTTTTCAAGCTTCTGGGACTGGGAGTCAATCTCGGTCGGCCACTGGGCTACAGAGAGGCCTTCCACAGTCCCAGGGTGCAGCAATGCCCGCGTCTGCCCAGCTGCCGGCCGTGCCACTGCGTACTACTGACACAGCAGCATAGACCTCACTGTTATACGCCACTTTTCATTCCCACTAAAGACGGCCCCAGCAGAAATGACCACCCATGGCCCCTCTGAGGGACGAGCCGGGCACCTGTCGGAAAAGTCGCATCAGGACCCTGAAGTGAACGGCGCCAGTGCCACCGAGAATCAGCTCGAAGAGCCGGACGAGCAGGCACAGGTACTCTCTGCTGTCCTCTCGCAGTCGTTCAGGATTCCACCACACGGCATCTGCACGGGCGGGGGGGGGGGGCGTCTGCCGGGGCGGGGGGGGGGGACGATGACGCACGTGTGCACTGGCTGCTGGGAGCCGTTCCCTCGAGACTGAGGGTTCGGGTGGAGTCCGTCACTCAGGCCTGCGGAGCACCTCACAGAGGACTGATGTGTCCTACCTTTAGGAAAAGACGCAGGGGCCTTTAGCGCATAAATAAAACTTTTCAAGGAGAACACGAGTAAAACGGAGTCCTCCACCGCGACCCTTTGGGCCCTGCCGAGCTGCTCCACGTAATGTGCCCACAGCTCCACTGGCAAGGTGCTGTCCTTCATCAGCTCAAGGTGCCATTCTGCGGGGATTTCCTGAAACAGCAAAAGCAGCAGACTAGCACAAACCCAAGACGTCATGGTCTGCTGGGCGACGGCCAAGGGTGCCAGGCCCACTCGGGTCACATGCACTATGGGCCTCTGCGCATTCAGTGAAGAGATGAATCGTTCTCACCAGACTTTTACAGATGTCTCCTGCTACTCATAAGGAAAGACACAGACAAGTTAAACATGGCCTCATTCCATCTCCATTTTACCTTAAAATACTATTTCTTTTGAGAGGTTTTTTGCTATAGGGCACATGTGCTCGCCATAAAGACAGAGAGCGAGAAATCACCTTCCCGGGGGAATGGCCACACCACAATCCCTTCTCCTCCACTCTCTTCTCAGGATCTTGGGCACGCATGTACATGCACTCAGCATGAGTTTAAGCCACTGGGTCCGGGATTCGAACCATGGTCAACCACATGGGAGTCCAGAGACATAGCCATTACACCAACTGCTGGTCCCCCTTAAAATACTATTTCGAAATAAACTTTATTCAGATAAATTTTGTTTACCAAATAAAGATCAGAAAAAAATATGCATGTTTCCGAGCAGAAAGATAAGGCTTTAGAGTTCCTAGGATCTTTAAAGGGACTTCTCATTTCACATTTTTACTGTTACTCTCAAGAAGGCATGGTAAAAATTTCCAAACTGCAGGTGATATTTTCCAACAAAATGTTCGAAGTAAAAATCACACTGTAAATTCAGAAGTGCAGGTGTGGAAACATGACAAATGACACTCTGTACATGCAACACAATAGTAATCGGGGACAGGGTCATCAAGTCAGATCTATGAGATAATGTCTTTAGTGATGGATCTGATTGGCTCAAACTATAGCTATGTCTAAAAATATGCTCGTAGGGGCCAGCAGGTGATGTGGTGATTAAGGGCGCTAGACTCACACATGGCGGACCATGGTTTGAGTCCCGGGCCTGGTGGCTTACTTTCTCGCTTTCCTTGTCTCTGTCTCTCTGGTAAACTAAAATAAATAGCATTAAATAATTATTTATATTGTTCATAATCCTCAGAAGGGGTATTAAAATAAATCTACTTGTGTATAGAAACTTAATTTGCCCATAATTTTTACACTGAGAACAAGTACAATTCAGGTTATTAAACTTTACAAAAGCCACAAAGAAGGTAGAAGCTAAGAAAGGCCACCTGCTTTTTATTAGGTCACCAGGAGAGTCAAGACATATTTTCCTATGCAAAAACGCATCATGACTTTCCCAATGACCCAATAAAATATAAAGATTCATTGTGTCAACGCTTACTTAATTTTAGTTAATAATAGCCATGAACAGAACATATAAAATCCAAGGATACATATAAATGTAAAAAAAGAAAATGTTAATTCACTTAGCAAATCCTATAATGAAGAGCACTCTGAAATTTGGAGGTCAAATAAAAATGAAATACTATTAAATAAGGCAGACATAAAAAGAAATAATCTTTAAGCCAGCAGATGGCATGGTGATTAAGGCTCTGGACTCCCACATGGCCGGCTGCAGTTAGACTCCTAGACTTAGTGGCCCGAAAATCATGCTGGGCGTGTTTGCATGCAGGCACCAAATTCTAGGAGGATGCAAAAGAAACTGCAGTGTGGCCATTTCCTCTTGCCCCAGGGGGGTGATTTCTCACATCCCTCCCCACCTCAGTCTCTCTTGCATCCTATGGCAAAATCCTAAAGAAAAAAAAAACTAAACAAAAGACCCTTGTCACTTTGAGATGGACAGTAGGTAAAAATACAAACAGCTGAATGTCCCTTAATAATACTGTCAGAGACCACAATAATCTAGAGCAATCCAAATCTAATGTAAGATTAACATTTAAAAACATGCACAATCTACTTCTGGTAAATAATAGCATGAAGTACTTTTTTCCAAACACTGACACACCGAGTGAATGTGCCATCACTGCAGTGCTCGGAATCGCTCGGATGGTCACTCACTGCAGATAAAGTGAGAGGTGACCAGCACATGAAAACACTACAGGCTGGGGACCAGCAGGCAGAGTAATGGTTGTGTCACTGGACGCCCATGTAGTCAACTGCAGTTTGAGTCCTAGACCTGGTGGCTTAAAATTCATACTGTGTGCATGCCCAAGATCTCGAAAGGATGGAGGAGAAGGAAGCGTAGCATGGCCATTCCCCCTGCAGGGGTGATTCCTCACTTCGTTTCTCTGATGAGCACAAGTGCCCTATTGGAAAAAAAAAAAAAACCAAAAAAGTCTCTTTTTAAGAAAATAGACGGGCTGGCATGTAGCGTGGTGGTTAAGGATGCTGGATTCCCACATGGCCAACCATGGTTCAAGTCTCTTTTTCTCTCTCTCCTCTCTAGATCTCGCTCTGCTCCTATCTAGTCCAATTAAAATAAATAAATAAATAAATAAATAAATAAATAAATAAAGTTAAGTAAAAAAACTTAAAAACAAGTTAGCAGTTTGTCAGTTGCAGACGGCGTAATGGCTAGGTCACTGGACTCCCATGTAGTCGACTCTGGTTCGAGTCCCGGACCCGGTGGCTTAAACTCAGGCCAGGCGCATGTGTGTGTACCGAAGATCCCGAGAGGAGAATGGAAGAGAAGGGATTGCAATGTCACCATCCCCTCTGGGGGGGGGGGTGATTTCTTGCTTTCTGTCTCTCTTTCTGGTGAGCACACGCGCCCTATAGCAAAAACCTCTCCAAAGGACAAACAAAAGAACTACAGGCTGAAATTCTCATTCAAGTGAATTTCCTACGGAAGCAAGAGAGCACCCACCCGCCCCGCTGCCACCCGAGCCTGCCCCGCAGCGCGCCTGGCCCCGAGTGCCCATGCTCTCACCACCGCCGTGATGGTCCTCTCGAGCTTCCGTACTCTGCTCTGCAACAAACCGAAGACTCTCCTCGCAAATGGAAAGTGAGTTTCTTCTAAGGATGAACAGCAAGAGACGAGCACAGACAGGATCACATGAGACGTCACTTTCTGCTTCAGGCTAAAGGACTCCTTTTCACCAACGCTTATTAAATCCTCCACCTGAGAAAAAAAACACGCTCCATTACCGGCAGCTCTGGACTGCTACACAATGGCCTTCGCCATCGCAGGCCCACCCCGGCGTTATGTTTACAGTGAAAAGTGAGACGACAGATCCAAACAGCGACTTCTAAGTGACTATAAAAATAAGTACTTTCTGATGTTATAATGAACATAATTACCCTTGCCAACTGGCAAATGCACTTAAACCACACATCTAATACCTTTACGAAGGCTTAATTCCTAAGCAAAAACAATCTTCTCTTCTTTTAACATTTATTTTTGACAAAATATGACACTAACATTTTAAATGACCATGAGAAAAAATGAAGGTGAAAAAAGACACAGTACTTACACTGGTCTAACGTACACACACTGCCGAACCTGACATAAAATGTTAAGGATTTCAAGTATTCTGCAGAACATACTCAACAAGGCTGTGCTTGTATGAAGCAAAACAATCAAAGTCCTCAAGGACACAAGCACATTTTAAAAGAAGAGGAGCCCAGTGGAGCAAAGGCGAGAATTTGATGAGTGCCCAAGAAGGCCACGCAGGGGAGGGCCCTGAGCAGCTCACCAGCCGGAGCATCGAAGGCCGGTCTCCTGACGTTATATTGTCAGCCAGCACCTGAGTCATCTTCTGATTTGCTGCACCAATCAGCTGTCCTGACGCTGTGCTTTTAATCACACTTCCAAGAGCTACAAAAGAAACGGGACAGAGAGCGAGCCCTAGGTTATGCAAAGGAAATAAACTAGGCAGGATTTTTAGTATTTCTCTGTGAATTTTTATTTTTCCTTTTTATTTTTATATTATTTTTTTTTATCCTTTTTTTTTTTTTCCCTTTTATCCAATTTAGAATTTGTCCTTTACAGTGTATACGTTTTATTTTGGTAGAAGTTTTTAGAAATTGTGTCAGCACATAACAACTTCAAAGGGCAAATAAGGTCATTTTAACTTCTCTTGTTTCAAGTGTCACCTGTTCAGCTTTCCTAATACAAAACGACTGGATTTCTTACCTTCTTCCCAACCTCTGAATAAAGGGTGCAGAGAGCAGAGTCCTGATTTTGATAAATGCACGGCCATTTGCACTTCGGCAGACTCCACGTCGCTGCTACTGATGACCATGAATGGCAGCAGGCGCACAGCCACCTGAGTGGACAGCTGGTGGCTCCCACCCAGCACTTCCTCTCTAATCAGCACACCCGCTGCTACCTCCAGCACCGTGTACCTAGAAGGTAAGACAGCACATTCGCTCGGACACACCAGGCTTCCATTCAGTGAAAACTCATTTCAGCTAGCTGACAGCAGCCTGGCCTTCTCACCAGAAAGACTACTCACTCAGACATCACGAAGAGCCACGTCAATGAAGGGGTCACGTGTGATATAATGGTAAACTGCTAACCCTGTCTGATCTTGTGTGTGTGTGTAAACCCTTAGAGTAACCACAGAATGGAACACAACACTGGATGTCTCAGCCCCACTGGAAATGAGATTCACTCGGGCATCTAGAACATACTAAATGGAGCACACCCTGTGTGACAGGTAACTACCTGGGGACAGACACGAACACGTGGTCAGGTTGCACCCTCGAAGGAGCTTAGCCGAAATGCCAAAAATGAAAGAACTAGCTATTCAAATACAGAGAACATCATGCACCTCTAAACTAATTTTTTTCTTTTAAATTGTCACTCTGGGGCTGGCAGGTGGCATGGTGGTTAAGGGCACTGGACATCCACAAGACTGGATCTGGAGGCTTGCTTTCTCATTTTTCTCTCTCACTCTGTCCCTCTCTGGTCAAATAAAAATAAATAAACAAATAAAACAATTCAAATAAGTAAATAAATAAACTGCCACGCATTTCCCAGAGACAGGGAGAGTAAGCACCCCCAATGGGGCACAGCTGCACGGTAATCCCATCTCCCCTTCCCTATCCTGTTGGGTCTTGGGGCCCACACACACACATATCTGTGTCTCTCAAGTCACAGGGGCTGGGATTCAAACCAGAGTTGGCCATGTGGGATCCAGCTCCCTTTACCACCAGGCTTTGAGGCTGTCCCTGAACTTATTTTTCAATTTAATACACCTGGACTTGTTTTGAATTTTTGTACGGGGGTGGAGGCAGTGTCTATGAAACTTCATGGAAAATGCACATTATAAATTTCAAAATTTTTGCACCAAAATGTATTATAGTTGTCCACAAAATTTTTGAACTCATATTTCATTAATAGAAAGTTCAAACACAGAGAACAGCATCATCAGAAACCACAATTAGCATTATAATGCAAACCAGTATATAGCATTAAGATCTGTTGAGGGGCCAGGCCCACAGCCTGGTGGGTACAGGAGCTGATCCTACATGACCAACCGTGGTTTGAATCCAGTCCTGTCAGCCTCAGAAACACACCAGGCAGATGTGCTTGCATTTCCAAAATCCTGACGGGATGGAGAAGGAAGAGACGACAGCGAGAGCAGCCACTAGGGGTGCTTTCTCCCTCTCTCAGTCTCTCTGATGAATGCACAAGCCCCCTAGCAAGGTCACGTAACCACATCATAAACTAAGAAAATGTTAAAAAATTAAAGAAAATCCATGTGACACCAATGTAAGAACCCCAACAGTTCCTAACAGCAGGGGAAGTGTGTACATACCAGTCTCTAATCTTGGAGAGTTCTGCTCTCTGGAAGAGACGGAGAAGACTGGAAACAGTCACTTCGGAGCTAAAGTGCTGTTTGAACATCTGGAGAGAAGAAGCACCTGTGAGAAATTTCTGCCTGTCTCTAACACATACAGTGCTTACTTGCCTGTGCTCTCAAGAAAGTCAATTTTCAAAGGAAATGTAGTTTCCAAACATACGAATGCCCAGAGCAGAGAATTACATGAGGACAAGAAAAATTTGCAAAAAAAAAAAGTGTGTATCTGAACAAACAAATTCACTCACCTCGAAAGCACTGACAGCTGATAAAACAACATCAATGTTATCATCAGCCAATCGGGCCAGAATAGCTTCTTTTATAAAAGACTCATCAATACTCTCCTGAGCAATAGGAAAAAAAAAAAATTAGCTGTTGCTTACAGCCTAAGACGAGTGCAGATAGGAAGCCTGGCCTTTGCACTCCAGAACACCAGCCCAGGAACACAGCCCTGCCTCGGGGGACCCAGTGCTGCTCAGCCAGCTAATCTCTAAGGGCCTTGGAGATTACTAACTGGTACAAGCCTTTTCCAGTTGCCTGGAAAGTACAGTAAATTATGTATGCTCCGAATACAATTTTTGTATTAAGGAATTCACCTTGCTAAAAGAGGCCTGATGTTGACACTGCACAGACTAAAGAGCAAGAATGTCTAGGTCTGAATCCAAGCTTTAGCACTTGACTGCTCGTGGTCTGGCGAGTTAGCATCTCTGGGCCTCCTGGTGTGACTGCCTACAACAGAGCTGCTGTCGTTAATACCCACAGAGAGGTGCTGGACGGTTACCAAATGCCAGTGCTAAGCGCCATGCTTCATGGAGAGCGAGTACTGCTCAAAGTGAGCTACTAGTACTTAGATTTTCTTAAAGAATTATTTTAATTTTATTTATTATTATTATTATTATTTGACCAGAGAGAGAAAGAAAGGGAAAGTCAGAGAGCAAGCCACCAGGTCTGGGACTTGAACCATGGTTGACTATGTGGGAGTTCAGCGCCCTAACCTCCATGCCACCGGCTGGCCCCAGTACCTAGATTTTTATAAGGATAAGCACACATGTATTGCAGAAACCAGTCTGCCAAAAACAGATTCTTTTCATTTTTTTTAAAGTACTAAATGAAAGCAAGAACACGTAAGCATGCCCTCATTCAGTCACCAAGAAAGAAGACTGCCCGTTAACCCAAACATACCCCCACTTGTACGCAGTGCGGGAAAACCACCGAATCACATGAGGCCAAGGAGAGCGCAGTGATAATGCCACTGGCCCCCAAGTTAAAGGCCTGGGTCCTGGGACCTCCCTGAGCAGGCGTGGCATGTATGTCTGCAACCCAGGTCGACGGGGACTGGAGCGCATCTACTGTGAAAAACCAGAGGACTGGGGCTGGCAGGTGGCGTGGTGGTTAAGGCAGCTGGAGTCCCACATGGCTGACCACAGTTCAAGTCCCAGACCTGGCAGCTTGCTTTCTCACTTTCCTTCTCTTTCTCTCTGGTCAACTTAAAAAAAAAAAAAAAAAAAAAAAAAAGACAAGACAGTGAATAAAATTAATTGTTAAATAATTATTAAAACATGAAAAGTTAGAGGACGATACCTCTCCTCTCTCATGGATGAGTTAAAAAAGCTTACAAACAAAACAAAACACTTATGAAAAATATAAGTCTTTTTGTTGGGAGAAAGCTAAAACCCCTAGAATGTGCAAAAATTAAGTTAGGATACTGGTCCCAAGATCAACCATGCCTACATAAACATTCTCTTAGATCCTAGTGCTGCTTTAAAGTCCATTTAAAACAAGCTAAATAAAACATTCAAGAAAATATCACCAGTAAACTAATTTAGCAAAAAACGTGCAGGTATTACTTGAATGACAAAAGCTGAAAAAACCATTCTTTTTGAATCATTGCAGTCTTCGTATGACGGCTTTTGGTATAAATACATTACCAATTAAGCCAGGCTCTACACTTCTTACTTAAAGCCATAAAAATTTAAAAAATAAATAAATAAACAAACTGCAGCTACAGAAACCATGAAACAGTGTTCAGAAGTTATCAATCAGATGTCTCAGAACACACACTCGCGCAAAATCGAAACTACAACCAGCAGTGCAGACAGTGCCCCGCCTCAGGGGCCAGAAGTCACAAGAGAAGCCAGGGCTGGGCTCCCAGGCCCACCTGCACAAGCCCAGAGAAGGCTGCAGTGGGCCAGTAACCCTGGCTAACTAGGTGGGGCAGGACTGCGAGAGACCCTGTCAACAGTATCCATCTACCTCTCCCTCTGCCTGTCCCTTGAAAAGTTACAAAACTTAAGACTATCAAATCAAATTACACAAATAAAAATAAAATTACCAAATAGGTGATCAGACCCTATGAATTTTGGTCTACAAAGGCCAGCTTGATGGACACTGAACGAGGGGCCAGCAGATGCACAGCGGTTATGTCCCTCGACTCCCACATGGCCAACCAGGTTAAGTCCTGGGCCTGGTGATCTGAAACACGCTGGGCACGTGGGTAAGCGCCCAACACCCCAGGAAGAGAATGGAGAAGGGACTGTAGTGTGGCCATCCCTCCTGGGGGATTTCTCACTTTCCTTCTTGTCTCTCTCCCCACCCTCAACCTCTGTGATACACTTGCCCTAAGGCAAAAACCGCTAAGAAAACAGAAAAACACTGAAGTAAGGGCCAGATGGCAGCACAGTGGTAAAACACAATACCCTGAGGCTGACCACATGGGGAGGTTCCAGCTTCAGGTCCCAAGATGTCCCTGAGTGTACCAGGAAAGCAGTACCCATGACCCAGGGTTGGTTGGAGCTGCACACGGATCGCAGCAACAAGGCCCTGCTGAAGGTGCTGTCGATCTGTTTCTCTCACTTACGGAACAAGCAGGTGAGTCAATTTAGAAACGTGACCTAAAGTCAAGTCAGTAATTTGCGACGGGGAAATACCGCACAGCAGTCATCAGGCCAGGCCGAAACAGCAGCTATCAGCACATCGTCCACCCTGACTCGGCACTCGGTGTGAGCCCTCGCGTCCGTGGCTCCGTTATCTCCCTAACTGCGTATGATCACCGCTAACTCAGCACCTCCCAGTTCTTACTCTAGGCCTGCACTGCTCATCCCAAAGGGAAAACCGGAGGTGAAAACCTGTGCCACAAACCTCTGATGTCTTCATGACACTTTTCAGGTGATTCACAGCCAGAAGTCTCACGGGAGCAAGTGGATGGTTCAGGCTAAGCATCAAGGAGGTGTCAGAATCGGCTAAAAACTGTAAGTTCAACATGATTACCAGCTGACCCCACTCAACCCAAGAACACAACCTGAGAGAACTGCTCTGACTGCCCGACACTGTCGCAACCACCTAACTGTCAGCACTAAAGAGCAACTCCTGAACATGCGCAGTTACAACAGAGGAAATCTCTATTCATGGAGTGATTTCATCAATCCCCGTGTCTGAGTGTAGGTCTGAGTCTTCAAGTGACTCTGTACTCTATGAGCACGTCTGTAAAGTGAAACGCACCAAGAGGAGCTGCATGAGCACTCGGTGAGGAAGGACTGCAGCTTGTCTACACTAGCACTCGGTGGGAACAGACTGTAGTTTGCCTACGCTAGCGCTCGGTGGAGACGGACTGCAGCACGCCTACAAACTTCTGCATTGGGACCAGCAGTTGGCGTAATGGCTATGTCGCTGGACTCTCATGTAGTCGACCATGGTTTGAGTACCAGACCTGGTGGCTTAAACTCACGGTGGACACGTGTGCATGCGTGCCCAAGATCCCAAGAGGAGAATGGAGGAGAAGGGATTGCGGCATGGCCATCCCCTCTGGGGGTGATTTCTCGCTTTTTGTCTCTCTGTTTCTCTCTGTCTTTCTGGTGAGCGCACGCACCCTATAGCAAAAACCTCACCCAAAACAAAAACAAAAACTAAAACAAACAAAGAAACAACTTCTGCATCAGTGTCTAAGTTCTAATACAAAGACAGGGTTGATGGACCACATAATCTCAAATTTTAACACATAATCTCAAATTTTAACATGATTGTCAACGGCTTCACTGTAATCAATATTCAACAACTTCAACAGCAACAAGTGGCCAGTGGGGCCACCCCAACAGACGCCTGTGGGCAGGTCTTGGGTGACTGGCCATGAGCCTCAGTCTGAAATCACCGAGCGCTGCGTCCCCTGAAGCACCTGTTCGCAGTTATTAAACCCACGGCACTGTTCTTCCATCATTCGACTCTTGCCCTAGGACCCTACTCATCTTTCCAGATGGAGGAAGCAGCAAACCCCCGTGGGGCTCTCCAGATAACCAGGTGCACCCCTGCTCGTCCTCAATCCTTAGAACGGCATACCTGGTACTTCCCTCCCCCCATGGACAGGGAGATGAACTGATGGAAGAGCTCTTGTTTTTTAAGATCGGTCACCTCCTTCAGGTGTTCCTCTAACACAACGTCCAATGTCCTGGGGTACCTGGGAAGAGGTTAGCGAGTTAACCCACTGTTCTCAGAAAGCTGTTAACTGCATACGCCATGCAAGTGCAAAGAGATTTAAAACACGATTTCAAAAACTATCAAAATTCAGCCCATAGGTGGCTCGGAGGTGTTGGATCCTACATGGTTGACTTATGGGTGAAGTCCCAGACCCTACGGGTTGAAAATCATGCTGGGCACATGTGTGTGTGTGTGCTGAAAATCTTGAAAGGAGAATGGAGAAGGAACTGAGGCATGGTCATCTCCACTGGAAGATGATTTCTCACTTTCTCCCTCTCTATCTCAGGCAAACACATGTTCCCTATAGCAAAAATTAAATAATTACTGAAAAGGTGACATAAACTTTTTTATAAGAATTATTTATTGGGACCAGCAGTTAGCATAATGGCTATGTCACTGGACTCCCATAGTTGACCGCGGTTCGCGTCCCGGACCAGGTAACTTAAAACTCACGCCGGGCACGTGTGCGTACGTGCCCAAGATCCTGAGAGGAGAATGGAGGAGAAGAGATTGTGGCGTGGCCAACCCCCCTGGGGGGGGTGATCTCTCGCTTTCTGTCTCTCTGTCTCTGTCTGGCAAGCGCACACGCCCTATAGCAAAAACATCTCCAAAAAAGAAAAAAGGAATTATTATTATTATTGTCAATATTATTTTTCACTTGAGTTTTGCCAGAGAGAAAGCAAGCCGCCAGGTCCGGGACTCAAACCATGGCCGGCCATGTGGGAATTCCAACATCTTAACCACCATGCCACCTGCTGGCCCAAGGTGACATAAACTTTAACAAATAGTATATACAAAACCAAATGACACAGATCAAGTTGGTGACTATATCAATCCAATAACAAAAGTAGTCTCTACATTTGAAAAAAAAACTAATAGTCATTTCACGCTGGGCATGTGTACATGTGTGCTTGAAATCCAGAGGAGACTGGAGAAGGCATATCACTCCGGGGGGAGGGGGCGTTGCTTTCTCACCCTGTTTCTCCCTCCCTCTCTCACTGTCTACAGCGAGCTCATGCATCCTATAGCAAATTTTAAAAGTTTTTTTTTTTTTCCCCACAGCCCTCACAGAATCCCTATTTCCTTATATTTCAAATACTAATTCCGAGGCCAGCAGGTGGCAAGGGGTTAGGGTACAGATTCCCACACGGCCGACCTTGGTTCAGTGCCATACCTGACAGAATGAAAACCATGCAGGGTACACATGTGCTTGTGTCTAAAATCCCAAGGAGGGAATGGGGGAGAAAGGATTGTGGCATGGCCATCACCTTGGTGGGTACTTTCTCATTTTTGCCTCTCTCCAGTAAATCTATGTACCCTATGGCAAAAAATAAATAAATAATAAATAAAATTCCTATACTCACCTGTTCTCGAAAAGAAGGGGAAAAAAGGAAAAGAAAGGCCAATCTCTTCACAATTCACTAAATGAAGGCTCATAGGCCAACCTGTATTCTGGTGGTGAAGGCAACCACACCCAACATGGCAAACTATGCAGCTGTTTGAAAGCGCACTGGGCTTGTGTGCACCCAGAACCGCAGAAGGATGGTGGCGTGACCCATCCCCGAAGGGGTGCTTTCTTACGTTCCCTTTCCCTTTGGCAAGCGTAAGCACCCTCTGGCAAAAATTTAAATTAAGAAATAAAAAAGAGAAAGACGTGGTTTGTGAATGTCTTCACAGACCAAGAGGCACCTGTGAGAGAGGAACAGGTACACACAACTTACTTGCTTTCCAGAAGTCTGACGAGTGGGAGAAACTGCTCGTTAAGCAGAGACACTTCGCCAGGCCCAATTCCTTCCTGGGAACAGTACGACACATACTCTTCAAAAAGAAGGCTGCAATGGAAGCAGAGACCAGCAGTCATGAGTTACTGCTCGCTGAGCCCCAACCAGTCCTGGTGCTCCAGAAACGTAGTCTCTAATTGCCACCCCTCTACGAGGTAGAAATCAGAAACACTTCATCTTACAGACAAAGGAGTGAGCCCTTCGGTGCCATGAAAATCAGGGTGGGGCTTTCATTTAAAATCCCAGTCTGATCCCAGAGCCTAGGCTCTCCATGGTACTTCAGGCGTCCACCTACACTCAATACACAAGCTAAGCCTCCAAGCACAGACAAGAATGACACAGCAGGCAGGCACAAGCCCAAAGGCATACCACGGCAAAGCAGGGAAGGGGTCTGACCGCCACTATCTCCTCCCCTCCAGGCAGTGGCAGGGGCAGGACTCACACCTACGCCTGAGTCTCTACAAGGCCTACATTCTTACTCTACAGGCTGCCCTTCAATTAAAAGAAAAAAGGGAGACTGAGGGACGTAACCTTTGCTCCACACCTACCCTCAACATCAAGTTTCTAACTGGTATTGACTGAGTATCAACTGTGAAATATAGTTTCAGTTAGGGTCCATTTATTAGCAGAACACATCAAACGGCCACAAATCATGTTTAGTTAAAACCCAAATTCAGCTTAACCACTAGCTTTCCAACTCCATCTGTACATATTAAAGTAAGCAATGGGCCAGCAGATGGCATGGTGGTTAAGGTGCTAGATTCCCACATAATCGACTGAGGTTCAAGTCTTAGACCTATGGCTTGAAGATGGCAATGAATAAACAGGTCAATAAATAAATGTGCCTTAAAAAAGTCAAAAATAAATTAAAAAAAAAGAGTAAAAACCTCATTTGCCTTTTATGCTGTCACGATTATTGCATTAAATATCTGAAATTAATGAAGTGATATAGACAAACCAAGATATACATTAGAAAGGGACACTAGAAAACTGCTGACCAACCCTAAAACGTATACCGAGCCATAAAAATGTAACTCGAAAGCACGTCAAAAATCAGCTTTTACCTAGCCAACAGGTGGTCTAAGTCATTCTTCAGAGAGATCTTTGTAAGTATAGCTTCCAAGAGTCTCTTGTAGATTGGACCATCCACCCCTTCAGCTTCTTCTCCTTATTAAGGGACAGAATAAAACTGAGTTGGAGAACATTATTTTTGCAAGCTCAGTGTTCAATTTTACTTGTTGCAGAATATACTTTAAGACTAATTTTAAAGCACGTACCTCGACATCCAACTTCTAAACCACTTTCAAAAGTACAGTTGCCTATTTAGTTGTTCACCTTTTGTAAAGTGTTTCCATATACATTACCTTCGCTGTCCTTTCCCTGAAATTCTACACATTTTTAATAACTACCATCATGCTTCTCTCAGTAATCAGACAGAAGTGCAAAATCAGTCTTGCCCAGGTGCCGTTATAAGTTAGTGGTGAAGCTGAGCCACCAACTTAGATGGACAAACTACAGCCTACCTCTCGTCTCAATACCCCTGCGCGGAGCCCACGGCTACTGCTTCTTACCCCAGACTGCTCACGTGACGCTCATGTGGGGAGTGGGACAGTACTCAACGCCATCACTCAGGAAGGGTACCTTTTTATTTACGCTAGTCATCGTTCCAAAATACAAGACTAATCCGACTTGCTTACATAGCCTCATTTTCTGCAGACTGACGTAATGGTGGGTATGCCTTTCTCAGAGTCACCCATGCAACAATGGTATTCCTTGTCTTTTTGTACCTATTGATAGGTTAAAACAAATAATGTAAATAACTACTCTAATTTGTTTTTTGGCTTTATTATTTGAGTTTTTATGCATGAGATTTTCTTCGACTTATATTTGTAATGACTCCAAGCAGAAGACACTTTATGGAAAATGGATGAGATAGTACTGTAAATGAACCACTGAAGTTATCCAGTAGCTAAATGGCAGAAAAAAGGTTTTACTGGGGACCGGCAGGTGCGTGGTGGTGAGACCCCACACAGCAGACCGCAGCTCCAAGTCCCGGGCCGGGCAGCTGGCGCTCTCACGCTCCCTCCCTCCCTCCTCTGTCCTTCTCAGGTCAAATGAAAAATCAATAAAGCAATAAATGAATAAGATAAATAAAGTTAAATAAAATAACTCTGGAAAAAGTTTGACTCAATAAACTTTTAAATAACATTTATAACTTTAAGTGACACCACAGCTTTTTTACATGTAGAACATTTAAAAACAAATTTAAAAATAAAAAAGAATTCTGAAAAACGCTCAGCTAACGAGGACCTCTCTTCCTTCATGAACTACAGAGGGCACATGCACCCCCAGAAAGAGCGTCCGCAACCCCAGTGTGCTGTGGTCATGGAGCCACCTGTGTTCCCCCACTTCTCCATCCCATCAAGATCTTGGGCACACAAGCCACCTAGGCTGCAATTCAAAATGCAGTCAGCCATGCAGGACATGGCTCCACAAGGTACAGGACTTCACTGCTGGGCTACAAGGCTGGTCCAGACAAGAACCTCCGCAATCCACTGACTAGGGAGCACAAACGTTTCTCACCTGAGAAACAGATTACACAAAAGCCATTGGATGGTAGAACTTTTAAGTATCTTAAAGCTATTAACCAGGATGTGGTTCCCATTTTAACAGGATCAAATCTAAGTCAGTTCATTTCTGGGCGTGAACTATAAGATCATATACCTGGGGACCAGTAGATGGCATAATGGTAACGTTGTCGGACTCCCATGTAGTTGTATCATGGATCGAGTCCCAGACCCAGCGGCTTAAAACTCACACCAGGTGCATATGCGCGTGTGACCAAAATCCCAAGAGGAGAATGGAGGGAAAGGGACTGCAGTGTAGCCATCACCCTTGGGGGATGATTTCCCACTTTCTGTCTCTCTGGCAAGCACACGTGACCTATAGCGAAAATCTCTCTTTAAAAAACAACACAACACATACCTGTGACATGATGAATGATGGAGATGACCAGATGGGGAAGCAGGTAACGCAGAAGAGGACTGATGTCGTGAGTCTGAGAAATCCCGTGAAGTATCGTAATAAGATCAGGAACCTTACACAAATGAGGTAACGGCCTTCGAAGAAGCAAGCACACGTGGCACTGACTTTACAAACGAGGTAACAAGTGGCAGACACGAGACAGCTATCACACACCTTTAACAAGAGGGGTGCACTCAAGGGGCTCGAGGAGGCGGAGGCTGAGGTTCTGGGGCCCACCTGGCTAACCACGGGCAGAGGGGCACGTGTGCCGAACCCCCAAGTAGACTGGAGAAGGGACTGCAACGTGGCCATCACTCCGAGAGGCGATGTCTCACTTTCTCTGTCTTTCTCTAGTGTATGCATGTACCCTCTAGCAAAAACTAAAAAACTGAAAAAAACTTTTTTATCACTTTGAGAGAGAGTTTTGCTATAGGGTGCATGAGACCGAGAGACAGAAAGCAAGAAGTCACCCCCTCGGGGGGGATGGCCAAACTGCGATCACTTCTCCTCTGGAAAACGGGCACACACACCCAGCGGAGTTTAAGCGGCCAGGTCCGGGACTCCAAGTGCAGTCAACTACATGGCAGTCCAGCAACATAACCATTATGCCCTCTGCTGGTCCCTGAAAAAATTTCTAAAAGGGTTCCAGATAATTCCATTTATCTTTTTTTTTTTTAAGAGGTTTTTTTTGCTATAGGACGCGTGTACTCGCCAGACAGAGAGACAGAAAGCGAGAAATCACCCCCAGGGGGGATGGTCACGCCGCAATCCCTTCTCCTCCATTCTCCTCTCGGGATCTTGGGCACGCACGCACACGCGCCCAGTGTGAGTTTAAGCCACCGGGCCCGGGATGCGAACCATGGTCGACTACGTGGGAGTCCAGGACACAGCCATTACGCTAACTGCTGGTTCCCACAATCCCATCTATCTTTAACTAGCGCCCCCCCCAATCAACGTAATCGCACGCACTTTTTCCCCAGGCAGTCCGGCTTCTGTCTCTGCAGGAGCACTGTCAGGCAGCCTAATCCATCCTTGGTCAAAGAGGGGATCCGGGTGACTGTCCTGATGACCTGTGATGCCAAAGAACTCACGAAGGTCTCCTCCATCGTCACTTTCACAGCAATCTGACATATTATCATGTATGTCGCAGCTCTGTAATCTGGTAAAGACGATTTCAATCCCTAAATATTTTTTAAAGTATAAGGAAAATTGATAAGCTACAGTATTTTCTTTTAACTTACCATTTTACTCTGACAAACTAGGAATGCTGTAATTAGACATGAACACATCTTAATGCTCACTGAGGCCACCAGCCTTCCAAAGTGGAGAACTCAGATGTGTCCACTTTCTCTGAGTGGGCAGAGGGACAAGTCATGTCCCAGAAACTCCCAACTCCAACATGTCTATGCACCTGGACAGAAGCCGCAGCCTGCTTCATATGCAAACCCCAGGGCCTGCCATCAGGTCACTAGCACGTGAGCACGCGTCTGATAAGACAGGAATGTGGGACACTCGCAGGAAACGTGCGGCAGCCCTCCCTGGGGCCGAGGACGGCTGCAGGCAGCAGCACGTGGGAAGGGGCAGTGAGACGGAGGCAGCGCGAGGCTGTTGGACAGCTACTCCTTGCGCGGGCTCTGGACTCCATCTCTTTCTGGAAGTAAAGTGACTGGTAGGAAAACAGATCCAGGAGATCAAAGGAGGGCCAGGCAAGTTAAGTTATTCTTAGAGCCCGAAGTAAGGTCCTGCTCCGGTGAATTTTTAAAACAATGGAGGTCATTTTATACCTAGAGTTGAAATCTTATGAACCATCTGAAATAAACTGTAAGTTTGAAATGCTTGTCCATGTGCAATATCCCAAAGACAGACAATCCCTGTAAGGACAGAGCAGGCTAAATCACAGGCGCGGGCCAACCTTCTGGATATACGGGAACAACTTGGCGACGACGTTGTCCGATATGTCTTCAGCGGCCACCAGGGCAGACACGATGGTTGAGGCATAAAAGGCCAGGAGCACCCTTAACTGAGCGGAGCCTCCCTGACATTCAGCAAAAACCTGGGACAAGGGACACAAGAGGGAGAGGCTGACCAGAGTAAGCACACATACATCTATAGCCCTCTTGAACTGCTTCAGGCTTTGACAAGTTTTACCATAAGGGTCTTTAAAATTTCACGGAAAATTTGTACCATGAAAAAACTGTATGAGTTTCCAAAGTTTTGTACCCAAAAAACTGCGTGTTTTAAATCCACAAACTTTTTGGGCTTACCCTCATATTCAACACTGAATAAATAAATACACATGTGGCAAGAATGAACTGCCTTATTATCTTCCTGGCATTTCCAGATGGTCTCTGTTTAAATAGTCACTGTAACCCAAATGTCAAGAAACAGAACAATTAGATTTTCTAAAAAAAGACTCTTGGAAAGAGAAGCCTTGATTCGCAAACTGTTCATGCTCTAAGACAGCAAATCATTTAACCAAAGGAATCTCTTCAAAGTTCCGGTGTTGCATGTTCCCCTCACTTTGGTGCAACCTCTGTGCAGTTACGTGTTCCGTGCTCGTGAGACCACACGTCACTCACCTTGACAGACTGTGTCACCCAAGCACAGATGAAGTCCATGAACCCGAGGTCTTTGTGGCAGTGAGTGATCAAAGTGCCTTTGGCTAAGGGCACTCCGGATTGCTGTTGACAGGACACACCGTTAGACACTCACCAGCAGACCCTTCTCCAAGTACCCGCCCTGCTAGCGCCTCTACACTGCCATGGCTCATCACAGAGGACGTGTCCTGGCACTGCAGTGGTGCCCGGGTGAACAAGCAATGGTGCAGACCTTGAGAATGGGGCACTAGTAAAAATGTGTATCATGAGCTACGTTTTGATACGTATTTAGTTAAATCTGCATTCTCTAGATCTGTAGTCATTTCACTGGTTGGATCAGTTTTTCGGGCCAATGTGACATGGTCCTGTCACAGCTCTGTAAGGACACTAGTAAGTGAAAAAGACGAGGACCTGCCCCCTCTACAATGGTGGTCTCACCACTGGACAGTGCACACGGTCGAGGTGCTCAATCCACCCTGAACAGACAAAAGGCAGCTGTGAGGTGACCCTGACTCAGGGGGAGTCTGGACACCTGGACTGAGCGCGCCCAGGGAGCCGCAGGGAAGGTGCATAGACCAGGGGAAGACAGTTTGGAGGGTGAGCAGTGTACTGAGAAAAATCGGCCTGACTGAACATTCTTCAGGTCAAATGACTCACACCCAAATCTCTGAACCTTTCCTCCAACTAACCACTCCTATCTTCTGCCTCTCACTTATTCTGACCCACCAGCACTCTCGAGCTAGCTCTGCACAGCCCACGTCCTGCCTTGCTGATCCCCATCTGCTCCCGAGCCTGGGTCACTGCGCCCCTCAGCGAAGCTCCGGCTCACAGCCTGACTATTTCCCTCCACTGAGCATTCGATGGGCCATGGGCGAGACGGGAGGCTCCAGGATGGTGCCATCCGGTCCGCTCAGACCCTTTCTGTAGGCGCCACTTCACTCATCAGCACATTCATCCCTAGCATCTTCACAGCTCTAACAATCCCCTAACGCCCTCCTATTTATCTCTACCCTTTTAATTTTTGTATTTTGTTCCTTTATTTCTTCACCTCAAACTTTTCTGTCTTTTTTTTTTTTTTTGGAGACGTTTTTCACTATAGGGCGCGTGCACTCGCCAGACAGAGACAGACAGACAGAAAGTGAGAAATCACCCCCCAGGGGGGATGGTCATGCCGCAATCCCTTCTCCTCCATTCCCCTCTCGGGATCTTGGGCACGCACGCACACGCGCCCGTGAGTTTTAAGCCACCGGGTCCGGGACGTGAACCGCGGTCGACCATGTGGGAGTCCAGCGACATAGCCATTACACTAACTGCTGGTTCCCACCTCAAACTTTTCTTAAGCTCCTTCTTTCCAAAATTTCAAATGTCAATCAGCACGGCAAGTGGAAAAGCACAGACTTTAGGTCACACCGGCATTCAAACCCCAGCTCCCACGTGGCAGTCATGTGAAGCTGACAAATAACTTAATGTTCGGAGCCTGTCCTCATCTGTGGAAGTGGAGTTTCCTGAGAATCCAAGTAACGTAATGTGAAGTGCCAGCCTAACCCAGGCACTAAATCAGAGGGGCCTGTGTTAGTACTGGTTCCCATGGGAACCATGGGGATTGGAAAATGAAGTAGTGCAGGACTTTCCCAAACTCTACCCCTCAATCAAATCTTAAGATTTATAGAGGCCGTAGATGGTATAATGGCTACGATACTGGATTCCCAAATGGCTGACTGTGGTCTGAGTCTCAAACCTGGCAGCTTGACATTCACACTGGGCACGTGTATATGCATGCCCAAAATCCCGAGGAGATTGGAGAAAGGACGGCAGCATGGCAATTCCTCCTGGGGGGTGATTTCTTGCTTTCTGTCTGTCTCTTTGGCGAGCACACATGCCCCATAGCAAAAGCTCTCAAAAAAAAAAAAAAAAAAAAAAAAAAAAATTGTGAGGCCACACTC